CGTTGGGAAAGCTTGTGTTCTGTCTGCACAATCTCATCGGATCCAATATGGTCATTTCCTTTGTATCAGAAATCGTGAAGTAAAAGGGGTCCTTAAACCAGAAACTAATCTCATTGGCTGGTGTCAATTTCTGGACAACTGTGATTCGTTCAGATGCGTCACGTGGTGTGCTAAAACACTTCCTGGTTAGCTTTCCGCTAGAATGTAATCTCAAAATGGCAAAAGAACGGCGAAAAAAAAAGTTTGCAGAGAGAAGGCAAACAATTGTCACGTTGCACGTAAGCAAGGTTATACAAAAACAAATGACCCCGAACAATGAATATCTTCACGGAGTGCGTCGAGCTGTCATCCAAAAGAACAGGAGGGCTTTAGGCTAGCGCCTCACTGGCAATCTTTAAAGGTCGTTTTCTCAAAATGAGTTTTTCTCCTACTCTTAGTTAGAAATATTCAAACTTCAGTAGCACCCTAAAAACATGGTGAAAATTGATATTTTAGGGGCTGTTGACAGTATTTTCGATTTTTATTGGGTGATAAAAGAGATTATCCAATATTCCCTTCTGTAACAGCCTTAGATAGTAATATGACTAACAAAATGAAACACAGAATTTTGACTGGCTTTATCCAAAGTTCAGATTTCGATTCCTAAAATTGGCCAATATTTAATGAGATAATGGCTATTTGCAATTTAAACATGGCTATTTCAGAAAATTGTAATACAAAAACAGTTGCCTTATTGTAAGTAAAATTTAACTGGAGAAATTTCTAGCTGATACCTTTAAGATAGGGATGGGTATCGAGAACCGGTACTAAGTCAATACCGGTACCTGATTGGACGGTATCGGTATACCGTTAAGCCGCTGGACAAACGGTGCTGCTATCGGTATATCTGTTACGTCTACTTCCTTAGTTTAACTTTAAACCATTCTGGTTGGTTGGGAACCCTCATCCCGTGTGATGTATCCGGTTTGAGACCCCTCTGATTGGCCACTGTAAATGCCACTCCTCATCTCTCTCAACAGCGCTCTTATTATTGTTGTGAGACTCCCGCAGGCATGGCGGACAGAGCGAAGCGATCCAAGGTCTGGGTGCACTTTTAAAAAAATGTAGTGGCGATAGTGCAAGGTGCAATATATGTACTCAATTAGTTGCTTGTAAAGGAGTAACACAAGCAACTTAATGAAGCATTTGCAAACGAGACACTCATTGAATCTAAAACGGTGCTAGCGATACTGCTAGTGCTAATAGTGCTAGCGGGCTTCTGCCGCGCCGTGTGTAAATGTGACCTGAGCGAAGGCTCGCAGGCAGG